ATGATAATAGAGATGATGATGGAGATGACGATGATGATGATGATGGGTCTGATGGAGATGATGGAGATGATGATGATGATGATGATGATGGAGATGATGATGGAGATGATGGAGATGATGATGATGGAGATGATGATGAAGATGATGGAGATGATGATGATGATGGAGATGATGATGGAGATGATGGAGATGATGATGATGGAGATGATGATGATGGAGATGATGATGGAGATGATGATGGAGATGATGATGGAGATGATGATGGAGATGATGATGGAGATGATGATGAATCATGATGATGAATCATGATGATGGAGATGATGATGGAGATGATGATGGAGATGATGATGGAGATGATGGAGATGATGATGGAGATGATGATGATGAATCATGATGATGGAGATGATGATGGAGATGATGATGGAGATGATGGAGATGATGATGGAGATGATGATGGAGATGATGATGATGAATCATGATGATGGAGATGATGATGGAGATGATGATGATGAATCATGATGATGATGATGATGATGATGATGGATATGCATATGCAAGCGAAGATTGTGTACATGATGTTCATGAAGGACACTGTCATCAGACGATCGAAAGATAAAAGATCCAGGGGATGACAGTGTTTGTATTTGTGGTGGTATGCTATTTTGTGTTAGGCAGAGTGTGGAGCTAGTGATGTAGACCGTGATGATTGAGGTGCTTGAGATGATGATGAGCGGAAGCGGGCTACAAAGGGAAGTTGCGTTTGCATCATCTCAATTCATCGTCACAGGATTACTACCTTACGAAATTGAGGATCTAAAGAAAGTGTTCCAAGAATTTGATCAGGACGGTGAGTATTTGGACTTGTGTAGCGACAAGTGCGTCTCCTGCACCTCTTCTTCATACCGGAAGACCTGCTGCGCGTCTTCCAAATGTGACAGCGTATGCAGGCAATGGGAGCATAGACATGGATGAGCTCGAGCTTGTCTTGCGCTCGCAGGGGCAGGTGACAGCCTGAGGCAGTCTCAGTGCCGACCGTTGTGACGTTGCCTCAGAACCCGACCAGGGAAGAGCTTCTTGAGATGATCCGCGAGGTTCTGCTGGACAATACCGCTCTCGCGCACCCGTCTGACCTTGTTGTCGCAGGTGGATGAGGATTCAAACGAGCAGATAGAGTTCGAGGAGTTCATACAAATCATTGCCAAGAACAGGAAAGATGTAGACCTTGAGAAGGAGATTGTAGATGAGTTCACGGTATCCCGTTGCGGGTTCAAAATGTCTTAGATCACGTTTGATTGCAGGACAAGGAGAACGGGGTAGATCGCCAAGAAACGGGCTTCTGCTCCCTGAACGATCTGAGGTGACGTGAAGTTGGCTCTGCTTCTTGCCCCTTCGTAGCGCTTTCTGCCACCATTCCTCGCTTCCCCCGCCCGTCCCCTTCTCCGTCTTGCCTCCCCGCCCATCCCTATGTAAGTCTTGTACATGGCAGGGCAATGCTCAAGGGATTGGGGGAGAACATCACGGACAAAGAGGTGTCCGTGAAACTGCTGCTGTTCCTTGTCGTGACATCGAAGGCTTTCAGGTCGACATTATGGTCAAGGAGGCGTTTGTTGATCGAGACGGTCAAGTAAGTCGGAAAGTGAACGAGTGCGACTGTTGAGATAGTCTCCAGGTCAATTACAGACAATTCATCCATGGGATGATGGGAAAACGTTAGAGATATCATTGTATTCATACTAAGTTGGTAGCAAGTTTGATGTGTTGAGATGTTAGAGTTCGTGAAGTTAAAAGCTTTCTTCACATGTCCTCCAGTCTCACTCCTAGGATAAGTAGCCTAGGATCAGCCTCTTGGCTTCCGCTGGCGGCCGGGCCGCAGGGCCTGCCGCGGTTCCGAGGCTTCACTGGCCTTTGTGACTCTGTGGCTATGATGTTTCAGTGACCGGCTCCGATCGGCGGAGCGGGCCGGCCCCGGGGAGCGGCCCGACTCGAAGTTGTCTTTCGAGTAGAGGCTCGATGACCCCTGTCACCCCTACTTTAAGAGCTGAAATGAGGGGTACATATTGAATTGGATGCGCAATGTGGGTGGGGGTAATCCGAAGTAAATCGGGAGGAGCGGTAGAAATGAGTTCGTATCCATAGAATGCACAACTGCAGGAGAGGGAGCAGGAGAGGGAGCAGGAGAGGGAGCAGGAGAGGGAGCGAGGGGTAGGAGAGGGAGCAGGAGAGGGAGCAGGAGAGGGAGCAGGAGAGGGAGCGAGGGGTAGGAGAGGGAGCAGGAGAGGGAGCAGGAGAGGGAGCAGGAGAGGGAGCAGGAGAGGGAGCAGGAGAGGGAGCAGGAGAGGGAGCGAGGGGTAGGAGAGGGAGCAGGAGAGGGAGCAGGAGAGGGAGCAGGAGAGGGAGCAGGAGGGGTAGGAGAGGGAGCAGGTGCAGAAGCAAAGGGGGAAGAGATATGGTATGATAGTCAAAGGGATTCACTCACCAACTGCTATTGGTCCTCCGATCAACGAGGGAGCATAAGGTTTATAGTATGACAGAGAGCAAACAGCAGAAGGATGGTGTAAGAGAAGTGAAAGAGACAAGGAGGTGAAAGAGAAGAGACAATGAAGTAAGAGAAAAGGGATGTTTTCTTCGAATGGGAAGCGACGTCTCGTTACATAGTCAGAGAATCTGACAGAACAGACGCTCCGTCTTTGCTTCCTCCAGACATCACAGAATGACCTGTCCTTGGTCAGATGAGAGACTTCGGCCCGGGAGTATGCGGACGATCGTATCCTCTGTCCAAGAAATACACTTGTAACTTCACTAGATCTGTTTGTTCCTGTGACTAGTGCAACAGCCAAAGACCTCAAGACTGCCGCCTACCTTGACTACGTGCAAGAGCTTAAGATGTACACTTATCGTGCAGACTATCAGGATATGATGTGAGAAGCCCTTGTATCGTGTGAACCAGTCATCATTGCAGCAGCAAAAGCCGACGGAGGAAGGGAATGGCTCCATCGCTCGAGAACAGAAGAGAGAGTGTAGAGATTTTCATCTTGACGAGTATAAGTTGTTTACTGGCTGATATCAGGCTGAAGTGCTTCTCAAGAAGCTGTCCCTCGCCCCCGACGACCTCAGCGACACTGACGAGGTGAGATGTTTGAATCAGCTCGCAACGGAGTACCTGAAGGTTGCTGTGAAGGATGAGCTCTCAGAGACAAAGAGCGACGTCAGGAAAGCTGATCGCATGTAGACATGCGTGCAAGTGACGGTACGATAGAGACTGACCGCTCTTAGCTCCTCCAGGATGGCGATGAGGAATTCCACGGTCAACAACCCCCGCAGCTTCTACAACTTGGAACAGAAAGTAATAGCAGAGGTTGAAGATGATAAGAGCACGAGCGAAGAATACGTTTTTCTAATGGTTGAGATTCACTTCCCAATCGCTCGTGTAATCGCCTTTGCAGCTTGAGGAACTGGATAGGAAGTACAATGGAAACGTGCAGGAATTGTACGCGAGGTAGATCAAAACAACTCGTGATGTTCGAATCGCTCACGCTCTTGTGATAGCATTGAAAAAGCGTCAGATAGTGAGAAACAAGCTCGAAATTCGATTCCGTAATATGAAGACTTGTGTCTGCGAGTGCCTCACGCTGTGTTTGTACAGAGAGATCACGCACGATCCAATCTACTCTTATTCTCTCAAGGAGAAGATGGACATCCTAGCAGCTGCTGAAGAGGAGGAGCGAATGAGAAACGGACAGAACGACGAGGATTTTTTCGAAAATTGCAAACGATTCACCGTAAGCAGCCGGGACTCGTTGGTGGATTACTTCAACAAGAAGAGGGAAACGATCAATGAAAACATGCAGAACGTGTTCAGAATGGACCTCGAAGCTCTGCAGGGCCTCCTTCGGTGCGATCAGAGAAGGAGCAAAGAGATCTCAAGCGACGATACAGACGTGGAAACAAACCAACACGCAGACGAGGCTACCATGGCTGCAGATACTACTCTACGGGACTCAGGTTCCCTCGACTTGGAGTTGCTTCGGAGGAGGACCAGGCTGCGATTGTTGAGGGAATATCGGCCAAGGTAATATACCAACGTGTGCGACAAACCTTGACCATGACACGATCAGCGCCTACCGAAAGATTTGCTTGCAAGATTACGCATGGATAACAAAACTTGAAGATCCCTCATTCGATGTCAACGATGAGGTGAAGCGACATCTCGGTTCCTCCCTTATGTGAAACTGCGAGGCAGGTGTCTGAGATCGTGGACCTCTATCAGAACGAGGTGAGAATGGTTGTCAAGTGCGAGCCATGCTGACGCCTCCGCAGCCTCAAATCACATGTACCCTCCACGAGTTCAAGAAGTTGGACCCGAGCCGGTTCATGAGATCCGAAGAATCGCTGCTTAGCTACCTCGGCGTCGACGAGCTGCAGGGCGACACCACGTGCAATGATTCCAAGGAGTTGGATGCGAGCATGGAGCACGAAGGCAAGTCGGACAGACGCTGAGGCGCAGAGAGTGACCTGTCGGCAGGCATGCCAGGGAACGAGACGATCTTTGCGACGTCTCATCTCTCGACCATGGATTGTATCCTTGCCTCCACCATCGGCGTCGACGCTCCTGCTACTTGGCGGTAGGTTGGACCTGCCGAGAGCTTGTCTGTCTGACATCCTAGGCAGGAAGTGGATCTCAAGCAGCTTTGGGAGATCATCTGTGCAAAGTGTGTGAAAATATTTCGTTGCAATCATCCATGTACTTTGAGTCTTGTCACTTGATCGAGATGTACTTGTCGCGATCATAGAAAGGCCCGTAATCAACGAACAGCTCCTCACCCGCACCTGTTTATGCATCAGCTGCGCTCCAGCAGATGGGACGGAGTCGGACCGATGTCAAACTCTGCTTTCATGACGAGCGAATCTCCGTCCTCCTCGGTCACCACATTCACGTCCCTCCCGAGAGAAGGCTGCAGCAGCGTCAGCATGACCTCCGACAGCCGTTTCGATCGTTTACCTCGTTCATCCTGGACAGTTTGGTCGAGACCTTCACCCAGGGTAGAATGTAAGGGACGTGATCCAATAGAGTCCCGTCGCTGAGCATGAAGTGGAGGCGGACGAGAGGCTAGTCAACCTTAGAGGCTCTTCAGAAGAAGAGACAACCTGTCTGTCGGATCCAGCACATTGCCGTTGGACAGACGCCAGATATATTCACGAGCTCTTTGTTGGATCGCAAGTTGCTGCCAGGATCTGATCCCTCAGTTCCCTGTGATGAACTGGACTGCTCACCTCCGAGGAAGGAGCCGTCGAGAGAACCTGACCATCAGTCATGGTTTGCGCGATGGCATGCCGCTGCTCACGTCACCCAGCTTCGCTCCTTTCCATCGCAGCCACAGCCCTTGTGGCCAAAGGCTTCCTGCGTATCGTCCGATCTCTGTGCCTGCACGTTGCCGTGAAAAACGTCAAGCAAGGGGAAGGGTCATGACAGGTCTACCCGCTGGTATGTCAACAGCGGCGAACAGCCCAAGGCCAGCCTGAGGGATGGTGCTGGGCTTGACGACTAGAGCGTCTACCGCCGGGCTCAGCGCACAAGTGATGGCGAGCGGTAGAAATATGAAAATGACACAGCAGTGATGAGAAGGGGAAGGGGAAGGAGAGGAGAGTAGAAATGATAGGAAGGGGTAGAGGAAGAGCTCGCAGGAACGTGTCGACTTGCCTTCAGTCAGAGTAACACGACCATGGGGGCGAGTCTCCAGGAGAAGGACAAGCGCGAGTCCGGTCAGAGAGGAAGCGGCTGTGAGCGACCCATCGAAGCACTGCCATCTCATCCCTTGCCACCGACCGCGAATGGCTGCACTTTCCCTTACCGCAGGTGAAAGCAGAGTCCTTCGTAGTGGGAGGCAGCGACCGACAAAAGAGGAGGAGGAGGGGGAAGGGGAGGAGGAGGAGGAGGAGGAGAGAGATAGGTGTGGTGGCAGGTAGGTCAGGAAGCAGGAGGGTGTTGTGCTCGCTGCCTCCATCGTGATCCCCGCAACGCATCCTAGCAGAAGAAGTGTTCGCTTGATCTCCATTTCTATCCTGCTCTCTCCCGAGAGTCACTGAAACGTTCTCCGGGCTCCCCGGGCCCGGCCGGCCCGGCCAATCATTGAGTCACTGAGACTCCGGCCGGGCGGTTTGCCACCGCGGGCCCGCCGGGTGTTCGGATGTCCTGGGCTTCCAACAGGTGCAAAGTCGTGGCTGGTTGTAACTCGGGAGTGACCCCACGTGCCATCGTGACTGACTCGTGAAGCCAAAACCTCGAAAAGTCTTATTTTCACATGAGTAAAGGCTCGTTTGAAAAGTGTTGAGCATCAAAAAACTTCTTTTCGTGTTCAAATGATATATTTGGATACCAAAAACTATTTTCAGGATTCATCTTTACGACCAGTGGACTCGACGGGCCCGCTCAGTATCCCGGGTCTCGCCGTTAACTTTCTCGCAGCACCCACACAACTCACCCTACCCCCTCTGCGACCTGTCATTACTGGAGATAAGGTAGGTACTCACCAGACTTCCGGTGGACGGCAGGGTGGACGGACTACACCCACCGGCCTGACGGTCTCGTGGTGCTGACCTCAAACAAGAGCTTTACAGACGTGAACTTGTATATTAGAGATTTAAAATCTGAGTGAAACATTTCACCCCTTTTGAAATTAGATGTATTTGGTGACTTTTATCTTCAGCCATTTTACATCGCACCCAACCGTTGCAACCTGAGGGCTCTCATATGACCACCCCCTGGACCACCCCCACCACAGATCGAAGGTTTGAGATTGATAGGGTAGGGCTCAAGGTGAAGTGCCATGAGCCCCACTAACAAGTGTTGTGGACGCTCTGAAGAGGGTGGGTTGTTATTACCCTGGCTACACACCCGGTACTTGGATATTGAAATAAAGAGCAATTATATGGGTGGGTACCTGAATGTAGGGGTCTCTGTAAAAGTCAATGCTTTAAGGGGGTAGGCGTAATGATGACATGGAGGATGAGGGGGTGGGGGTTATTGGTTGGTACCCCATGGGGGTGGTCTCTGTACCGTAGGGCCGTCACCGTAAACTTGGCTAGGATCGATCAAGCAAAGAGCGGCGGGGAAATGATGGGAGGGAGTAGGTATCAGGGACAGCGATGGAGGGAGAGAACGGTGGGAAAGAGGGGAGAGGAGGATCAGGAGAAGGGATAATTGAGGATTGCAGGACGTAGATGAGTGCACAGAAAGGCTCCACGAGGGAATAGACTCTCTGATGGTAGCGAACAATTTGATCAAAGCAAAGAATCTTTGGAAGCATCTTGACTTTGGACATTGCCGAGAGATGATAACGAGCTGCGAGATGTTTGATAGCCAAAGACAACGAGTTTGGTATCTGCGATGCAGCAAGTAGAGCTTCTGAAGTTACTTAGAGGGGTTCGCATATTCGATGACGAGGCAATCCTCTCAGTATTCTTGTCTGTCTGACTTACATGATAATGCAGATGACGAATCCAAGGATTCACAGCTTGATGTCAGAAAGCGGGAAAATTAACAGACTCAGCTCATCCCCAAGTGTTTCCTCCCCCAAGAACCAGTCTCCTCACTCCCCTAGCAGAGCAAACGATGTTATCGGAGCCCTCAAGGACTGGAACCTGGTGAAGGAGAATCCATTGACAGCCTTTCTTGAACGAGCTCCTTCCTCCCCTGCAATGTTTCGATCCTGTCGAAGACTTTCGGTTCCTCGTCTCGATGTGCCCACTCGCAACCTATCGCTCGTACAAGGTTAGTGCGGCTCCTCATGGCTGCCGTCTAAACCCTTTCTCCTCCTTCTCCTCCTTCTCCTCCTGCATCTTTCTCTTCCTCTCCTTTCTTGATTGCTAGCGTAGATTCCTCCAAGAACGACTCGTCTAGGGTTCGGCAGGAGCAGCACGGAGAGCTGGAGCACAAAGACTTGTTCCTCAGGCTGGCATCGAGCTCCTCAGCCGTACAGAGACGATCGAGCATGAGAGTGTGAGGACAAGAGGATGTTGAGGGAGCTCCTCGTTGACGAGATGCGCAGGCTCTCCTCCCGTCACTCTCCAGTTGCTTCTCCTCGGCTCTCTCCCACTCCTCGGCTTTCTTCTCAACCAGAGCACAGTCCTTCATCAGGAAAGTCCAGCTTATTGAACCAGGAGACGCTCAAGCCCCCGCAAGTGTCGGAGGGGACCAAGGCAGGCAAGCTTCTGCTCCTCAACTTTCATATCGGGGACCTCGGACGCGCGCGTCACGAGCTGGGAGGGATCATGCGGCTCTCCTTACGTGAGCAGGTCAGCAGACACGGGCTCCAACGAGTGCGTCTGACGCTGCTGCAGACGGTCGCCATGTCGCAAAAAGACGACAACGGAAACACTCTACTGCACGCGCTGGTGGGGGGAGGAGGACTGGACTTCGAAGAGACTGCAGCAGAGGAGCAAGCAAAGGAACGAGAAAAGATCGACCTCAGTGCGTTGAGTGCTGGTCGTGAGGACTTGAGGTGCTGACGAGCAGCAGGTGACAAGCTTGTCAAGATGGGGGTTGATCTTAACGCCGAGAACAACGAGGGGAAGACAGCTATGGATCTATGTGAGTCGAAGCTGCTCAAAGGTGAGGAATGAGGAGAAGAAACGACCTGCTGTGGCTGATTGACTGACGGACGTGACAGATCACCTGGAGGGTCGCAAGAAGAGCATCACGTCGACCCCTGAGCGGACGGCTCTCCTGGCAGCCTTCAAGTGGAGGAAGCGAGCCGCCTTGAAGCTTTCCTTCCCCTTGGAGGCTGTCACAGGAGCTGAGCCCGAGTCTGAAGGAGGCTTTCTCAGCTCCTGCTCGACTCCTCTCAGTCGCGCTGTCAGTCAATCTAGTCAACACCTAGAGGCCTCGAGCCCCAGCTCTTCGCCCCTCAAGGCTTTAGTCGCGCATCCTGTCACCTAATAATAAATGATTGTTTGATACTCGCTCCTGCCCTCTTATCGCGGGGACTCTCGGCATCTTTATATACAAGCAGAGCTACTGTGCTGGGACCTCGTCCTCGAGGTAATAGTAGTCGAAAGTGAAGTCGGTCTGCTCAGGGGTAAGGGGAGGACAAGGTTGCGCATCATCTCACCTTAATCCTTTGACACCATCCTGTCTCGTAATCGAAGTACACGTACGTTCCCCGCTCACTCTGATGCCCTGAACCACCTTGTATGAGGTCGAGCAGCACGAGAGATGCAGGAGGCAACAAAAGTGAAGATGAAGGAGACGGAACAAGGGGGACAGAGCAAGGAGCTCGACCTGTCTCGACCGGCTCCTCATGCCGTTGGAACCACGTCAAGTACTTCTTGTGGAACCTCCAACCTGCAGAGACAGTCATCCCCCCCCCTTCTCTCCCTCTCCTCGCTGGAATGCCTTGCTTCTTGAGCTCGCGAGCTGCAAGATACTGCTGAAGGGTTCCGGTCTGTGAACATGAGTCAACCATGACCATCACCAACCCCATCTCACGACCTGGAAATAGAAGATGAAGAACAAAGTGTCCATGTCCAGCTTGTCGAACACCTGCTCAAGCCGTTACCATCGTCTCTAGAGACATGACAGCGAGCCGACCGCTGGGTTGTCGAAGAGAGTTTTGGGCCTTTCGGTCTCAACAGGGTCAGGCATGAACTTGATGCTTGCTTCCAACAAGCCCTGCAGTGACGTCAGCGCGGTAAAATCTCTCTCTTGCGTTGACTTACCAACTTGTCCATCTGGTCGTCCGGTGCTGCAGGAGTTTCCATCCCTTCGACGGAGGAGTAGCCGTCCTGTACGGTCCGGATCGTGAGGACAAGGAGAGAGAGTTCGTTGAAGGGCTACCTGCGACAGGCTTTCCGGCTGTGACAGCTGATAGTCCGAAGAGCTCTGCGACCCTCCTTCCATCGGAGCATCTGCAAAACGTCAGCATATCTTCCTCCACGCCCGTGACCCTCGCTCACCATCGTTTCTAAGCTGTGACAGGAACGACTTCTGATGAATGGACGGAGGAGCGGGAGTCGCCTGGAGACGGAAAAGTTGAGAGAGGAGGAGAAAACAGCTGGAAACGACCTTAGGAGCAGGGGCGGGGGCGGGGGCGGGGGCGGGGGCGGGAGCAGCCGCACTCTTTGAAGGGGCGTGGTAAACGTTCACGAAGGTGGAGGAATGTCATACCTTCTTGGCTGCGGCTGCGGCTGCTTCCTGGTTGCAGTCAAACATCAGCAGCTGAAGGAGTGGAATAGCTCAAAAATCAAGAACCTGCTGCCTCTGAAGCTCCTGCCTCCTCTGCACTTCAGCCTGCTGCCTTCGCTTCTCCTCCTCCTGTGCTGGTGTCACAACAAAAATTCTCGGCCAGGAGGGATCGTGTTGCAGCATACCTGCCTTCTCCTCTCGTTCTCAAGCTGTCTTCGTTGTTCCTCTTTCTGACGCTTCTCTTCCTCCTACAAAACATTCAGCTTCCAGTCGCTTGTGAAACACATGAGTTGGACCAATTTCTTCTTCCTTTCAAGTTCCGCCTGTTCCAAGGCAAGTCAAGAAAGAGAAGTACATGCAGATCCGAAAGCAAACCTCTTCTCTTCTCCGTGCTTCCTCTCTTTCCGCGTCTTCTTTCTCTTTCTGCGCCTTCTCGGCATCTTTGTCCTTCTTGCTCAGCTGCACCAATCCACCTTTCTCTTGATCGAGCTCGTCGAGGTTCAGGGCATCGTAGATGGTCTCATCTTCTTGAAAGTCTGGGTCTTGATTGCTCTGTATGTAGTAGTCGACATCGTCTCGGATCGAGTTGATGTCATCGTACGTCAAGTTGTCGTTGTCCAGCAATCGAAGCATCAGCTCAAGCCTCTCCACGTGATAGTTGTGCCTCTCCCTCTGTCCGTCGAGCTCGGTTTCGCGAGCTGTGACCTTACTTCCCTTCTTCTGCCTCGATCGGATCACTTCGATCTCGGCTTCAAGAGCATCTTTCTGCGTCTGCAAGCTGTCCAAGCAGCTGTCAAGCCATTCTCGCGCCTCCATCTTCGCACGAGTCTCGGGGTCGTTGGTTCCAGCGGCAGCGAGGCCATCCTTGGAGTAGGCTTTTGTCTTGGTCTCCTTCTCGCAGACCTTGAACCTCTCCATGTCTGTTTCTATCCTCTTGCGCGCCTCCATCAGGGGCTGCTTGTCCTTCACCTGGTCCCCAGCTATCCATGTCTTGAGCTGCTCTCTCAGCCTCTGCAGCTTCTTGATCTGAGTCTTGAGCTCACTCTCAAACTTCTCCTTCTGAGCTGACGTGGAGGCCTCGTGGACCTTCTGCCATATCTCCTCGAAGACCTCTTGCCCTTCGGTCACCGCCTTCAGCACACGATCCACCTCGCTCTGCAACTTCTTCGCAGAGGACATGCCGGCTACGAGCGCTTCCCACTCTTCTGACAAAAGGAAAGAATTAGCCGAGACAACAAGTCGAGCACACAGACAGCAGGTCTGGCGTTCGATTCGACATGAAACCAAAAACTCCATCACGGAATGTAATGTCAATCGCTGTTGGCCCGCTTTTCCCTCAAACTGCTCTTCATCCCCTGCCAGGCACACACACACACACTCTCTTCCCATGAAACTTGCAATGTTCGTTCTCGTTTTCCGGAGGATCCCTTCAATGACAATCCCTCATCAAACGTTGTCTCTCTCCAAGCTCACTCTCTGTGCTCTCTCTCGCGCTTCATCCTCTCTTCTCAAACAAATAATCCCTCCTGCTCCTGCTCCTGCTCCTGCTCCTGCTCCTGCTCTTGGTGAGTATACAACTTCTTCTCCCGCGTCACTCCTCTCCACCTCTCCTCCCCTCCTCCCCTCCTCCTCTCCTCTTCTCCTCTCCCGCCCCTCATATCTCTTTCCTTTCGCCTCTCGGCATGCAGGTTTTGGGGTAGGGTTGACCAAAATCAACCGGTAGGGGTACTACACATACCCCCTTAGAACTAGTAATTTGAAGGATATAGAAGGGGTACATACAAATTATGTTAGGGTAGTGTATGCTGAGGGTGGCAAACGGTGGGATCGGCGATGGGGGTGGTACGAGGAGAGAAGCTTTGGAGCTATCTGTAATATTTCTAAATCTTCTTATTGAACTTTCAAATTTGGCTCAAACAAAGGTTTGAAATGCTCAGCGAAATTTCAAAAAGTATCTTATACCACAAGGTTTAGTCAATAGGACCTTGCTATCACACACGTACATTATCAAAAATTGTTTTATAAATTTTGATCCGATTTCATTTTATTTTTCATTATATAAATTAAAACTATAGTACCAAGATCGTAAAAAATCCATTTTTTTCAGTGATGGCGGTTGAGCGAAGAGTGATGGGTGGGAGAGAAAACGGGAGGGGAGGGGAGAGGGAAGGAGGGGAGAGAGAAGGAGTGAAGGGGAAGAGAGGAGGGCTGGAGTGAGATTCGGGGATGTTGAAGAATATCATCACAGTACACTCCAATAGGGTGGGGAGGAAAGAAGAAGTGAAGGATTCCCAAATAGGTTGAAAGAGCTTTTGTCAAGGAACGATGAATAGAGAGCTAGGTAGAAGAGAGAGAAAGAGGTGGAAAAGGGTCAGAGAAAACGTTGAAGGTGCAAGAGACGAAGCATGCACTAGGGCCATGTCTCGGTAGGGAAGGAGTACCTACAAAGAGGGACAAGGGTGGAGAAGAAGAGGCCTAAGGGGAGGACGCGCGGCGAAGGAAGCATTGATCCTGATTCTGCTGTTGTTCAGTTAAGCAGGGTCTCAGGTGCTCTCAACGACTTGTTTCGCCATGAGTTCGATGTCCATAAGGCTGCGATGATGATATCTGGATCGGGACGCTCGCCATCGGTGTGTTCGGCCTGAGTAAGGGAAAGGGAGATCTCAAGTAGGAGAGAACCTTTGTGGATGCATTCTTGATCGAACCCAACATCCCTGGAGGACTAGCAAGGATGGTGGATGGACGATTCTCGCCTGCCATGTTCACATTCGGATACCAAGACAACTTGGGTCCGCAATTGCAGAACAACTTCTCGAATGTTCTTTCTCGATTGAACGACGATCTCTCCGAGCTTTGTTACAAGATTTCTTCTCCTGCTCGTCATGCGCCTGCAGGAGGAATGAAACCTTACTTGAACGACCCCTTCATACATCAGGCTGCCCACCGCCTGCCTTCCATCCAAGGCAGTACGAGGCAGGAAGGGCTCACGCGCATGGGTGAAGAGTTAGATTCCATGAGTACTCCCGGACGAAGAGACTGGCAGGGGAGGAACGACCTTCGAGATGTGGCAGGAAGCGAAAGACGACCCGTGCCTCGTCCTCAGGTGGAGGGGTGAGAGCTACGTCAGCCTCCCTCGCCTCCTTCCCTTCCCTTCGCTTTGCGCTGACGTCCTTCCCCTCCTTCCTTCTGTCCCTCCCCTCCTTCCCTTTGCTTCCTCATTGTGCTGACGCTGGGCCAGCTCGTACAAGTTCGAGAGATGGATGAACACCAAGGTGGACAATCTCATGAAGGACCTGGGGTTCATCCAGCACCAGCTGCACACACGACGAGGGCAGGGGCAAATCATCGACGAGCTCAGGCAGCGGGTAGAGCAACTCGAGGCGAAGACAAAGAATTCCGGTGGGAGGAGGGAGGGAGCGGGGAGGAGACCTGCTGATGCTGATGGCAGGACCAAGTCGGAGGCAGGCATCGTTCAGCAATCCTCTCCCTCACAACCACGTCAACGAGAACTTGCCGCCTTTGCGTAAGAGCACGGGAATTGAGCCGGGGGGGAGGGTAAGGATGTGAGGAGAAGAGGGTAAGTCTGACTGCTGAGCAGGAGGGCAGAGGCAGGAAACCGATTCTGCCGACGGTGGAGGAAGGAAACTTGAGAAAAGGTGGAGGCAGCGCGAAGCGAATCGCCAAACCAACAGCATGGGGTGGTAAGGAGGAAGGGACTGGAGCGAGGCATGGTCTTCCGAGCATTCGAGGAGGAGGGAAGGAAAAAAATCCTCCGTCCAAGCATAGCGCAAGAGCGAGGGGACAGCAATCAGAGCTCGGAGCTCGACGCATGATTCTGCAAAAAGGGAGATGATGCCACATGGTTGCTGAATACATTCAATGGCTTAGATAGATAGATACACGAATGGTTGCATACTGATAGACGGTGGATTACTAGGACGGTGAGGAGAGATGTGGAGGCAAGCCTTGTCTCACAAGTCGCTTCTCTTCCTTCAAGTTAACGGCGCCATCGCTGCCGTGGTCTAACTTAAGTAAAACCTAGACATGCAGGCGAATAGAACGATGATTGCAATTCAGTCACAGTGCGAGTCCATTTTCACCCAAGTGAACCTCCTTGTTGGCCGCACAAGACAAGACAACGTCTCTTGACACTGACGCAGCGGCCGGGCTCGAGCCCCGGCACCACCGGATTCCGAACCGTGACGGTGAACTGACTCAGTCCGTGGCACTGAGTCGGCGGAGCCTCGGAGCCGCTGAGCGGCCGGGGCCCGGCCGCAGCGAGTCGGCACTCAGTGACTGAGTCAACCGGGCCCGGGGCCCGGGAGTCCAACAGCAATCTTTTTTTCCTGCTTGCTGGACTGTATGAGGGGAAAGAGATCCATGGCTCTAAGGAGGACGGCCAGGCTTGAGGGGCACGAGGAACGGGTAAGAGGAGGAAGAGGGAGGGAGGGAGAGGAGGAGAGGGAGAGAGGAAGGGAGGGAGAGCATGGATGTGGTGGAGATCGAGCGAAGAGCAGACGAGCAGGAGGGAGAGCATGGAGAACAAGGAGGTGAGGGAGGAGGAGTCGCTAGCAGGATAAACTCAGAGGCTATCAAGATAAGGGGAAGAGAGGAAGTGGGGGAAGAATGAAGATCAAGGCAATCAAGGGAATATAGGAAGAGGAAGGGAGGGTCCGAGCACTGGAGGCTTGCTGAGCAACAAGATGAAAGTAAGGCGAGGCGAGTGAGGTTGTCCCATGCGAAGGCGCAAACAGCCAGCGTGTCCTACCAAGAGGCGCCTGATGGTGTTAGAGACGGAGAGAATGTCGTGCATGTCGGAGACGAAGAGACGAGGAGGCTGCGTCTTCTTGTCTTGAGGACTCCCGAGGACTCACTGCAGCTCGCTTCCTCCTCGTTGACCTGTATCTCAGGTTTGGTCTCTTGCATGGACAGCCGATGGGAAGAAGTTAGCGTCATGCTCCAGTGACAAGACTGTGAGGTACTGTAGGGGAGGGAGACGGAGACGTGGGAATGAAGGGAGGGGTTGGGGAGGAGGGAAGGGAGAGAGGGAGGAGGGAGTAGTCGATGACTGGGTCGAAGAGGAATGGAGGGAGAAAGAACGATAGATCGACTGATATGTTTGTATCTTGAAGGATATGGATGGAGTCCAACGGGAGCTGGTTCTGCGAGGAAAGTTTTTCTTGACCTCTCCCTGCTTGTCATGACAGAAACCTGTTTGCAGGCCATCCTCGATGACGCCCATGATCGCACCATCCGGTCGGTGGCGTGGAGCCCTGGAGGGGACAAGTTGGCGACTGCGAGCTTCGATGGCACCTGCGCGATCTGGGCTCTGAAGGTTGGAGAGGAGGAGAACAAAGTCGAAGATGAGGCGGGAGGAGAGGACGAGGAGGAGGTGGAGGAGGAGGAGGAGAAGAAGGACCAAGAGGATGAAGACAAGGAGGGAGGGAGGACAAGGACGAAGACGAGGACAAGGAGGGGAGGAGGACAAGAAGGAGGACAAGGAGGGGAGGAGGGCGAGGAGGGGAGGACGAGGACGACGAGGACGAGGACGAGGACGAGGACGAGGAGGGGAGGAGGAGGAAGACGAGGAAGGATGCTGCTGACGCTCTTGACGCTGCTTCTTCACAGGACAATGAGTACGAGCAGATCGCAACGTTGCAAGGGCATGAGAACGAAGTTTGTGGGAGAGGAGGAGGAGACACGCTGCTGACTCTTGCTAAGGTCAAGTGCGTCAGTTGGGACCCGTCGGGCAAGCTCATCGCCACATGCAGGCATGTCGCTCCCGCTCCTCCCGCTCCTTCCTCCCCTCTCTCCTCCTCGACCACTTCCACCTGCTCTTGTACCTCCTGCTCCTGAAAGAGAGATGCAGTCGTGACAAGAGCGTGTGGGTGTGGGAAAACGTGGGAGAGGAGGACGAGTACGAGTGCGTTGCTGTGCTGCATGGTCACACACAAGATGTCAAGATGGTTGGGTGGCATCCCAGGTCCTCTCCCTCTCCCTCTCCCTCTCCCTCTC